GCTAACAGTTGGAAATTGGAGTATCTCCTTGTGCAACCATGACAAAGTATATTTTATATACTGTTATATATAATGTTATGCTTGTTATATATAATGTTATGTTTGTATAAATAATAGGTAACAAAGATTTTACTCCATGTACTCAACTGCGCAACACCTTGGCAAATCAGGTGTATTTCAGTGCAGAATGTTCAGTTTAATAGTTTTTTTTGAAGTCATACATCAGAAAGTTAATGGAAAATTAAATAATGGGTAGCTGAAAAGGGCAACAAGTAAGAAACTTCCACGTCTGGTTTTTTTCTCGTCTTCTTTACTTATGTGCATGTGTATGTGTGTGCATATGTACATGTTTGAGTATGCGCACAAGTTTGCATGTGTGTTGATATAATCATCTTGAGGCGTTTGCATAAGCGGAACGTGTTTCAGATGTAAACCGTATCCGCTGCTTCACAACACGTTGGCTGTACGGCACCGGTTATAATAGCAGATGGCGCCTTTGCCTGCTCCTCCGTGTTATATGCTGGGCTCTTGGTCGACGTCTGCCATGTTTAGGCCATCGCATGAGTAGCCCATGGTTTCAAGTAAATGGCTTATTCTAGACCAATTTCTTTAACAGGATCAGCCTCCTTTCCTCATTCTGCTCTTCTACGTCGGTCGTCTTTTCCCGGTAGACAATACAGTTAATCATTATGTGATCCTACCGTTTTAACCCTCGTTATGCGTTTTGAAGTCAAGGCGGTTGTACGCACCTAAACTGTCGTTTCTGGTCCGTATTTACATCTGCCTATAAGTCCTCACTGTAAGGTGAAAGTAGATTTTTGTGAAATAAGTACATCTTTCTTATCTAAAATCTTCCGCAAGTTTCCTAAAGCACTCGACTCTAGAGAAATCCTTCTATTTATCTCTGAATAGATGGTATCATAGCAAGAGATAATGGAGCCAAGATACTTAAATTGGTCAAACTCATCAAGCGCTTCGATTTCCAGCTCGATTTGTCAATCCACTAGCTGCTTAAGTAGTGCATATGTGCAGTGAAGTACAAAGAAATTCATAGCGGATGCCTATGCCACTTACGGTTTTATGACTCTACTCCCAGTATAAAAAATTTCAGTTTTTATTTACTGAACTTTCTGTACTTGCTTAAGAATCGACTTGCAAGTTCACCTTGGCCGCTGATTGTGCAAATTTGTTTTGTCCGAAAATGAAGAGTTTCCTCCGCCATGGCCGGTCATAAGCCCGGGTGAGAAAGGAGGAAGGTTGGAGACCGTCGCAAGTCTCAGTAAAATTCAGCCACCTCCCACTCATGGTATTGACGCCTACGAAAATTATACCGGCTCGGTCGTCGCCCGGGTACCAAGGGCCGCGCAGGCTGTTGGGGGACTGAGGCAGACTGCGAAAAGTCGGCGATAAGAACCTCCTCATTGCCCTCTGCCAGCCGGGGACATGGCAGCACAACGACGGCTGACGAAGACCGACACAACGACGACGAAGATACCAGTCAGCAACGGATTCGCTACCCGTTCTGAACGGAGGAGGCAGACAGCGCGATGAAAAATACAGCACGTCAGAAAAGGCTCCACGGAAACGACACCACCAGTGGGAGCTTAAAGTCGGAAATTGGAA